GCTCATTTCTTCTAAAGGCTGCAATTTTTCCCGAATCGCCCCATGAAATGTGTCAATTTTTAGGGTATTAAAAAATTAGGCCCCATTTCTTTGAAAACTCGTAGCTTTTTTCCAGACTCGACCAAAACGGTTTGTGGAAATTTTATATTATAGACTGAAATTTCGTAGATTGAAAAAAATGACTTTCAAACCCAATGTTTCCAAATATAAATCCGATACGATAAACACTGTAGGTTCAAAATCATCATCATCTACTAGAATTTTTTATGATTTTTTGGTATTCTTTTTCAAAAGCTCAATTTTTCAATATTTTAATACCCTCATGAAAATTTCGACCTTTTTTCGACCACGTTTGATTTTTTTCGTAGGTTTCGCCCCCCAGCTTTATTTTCGGCCTCATTTCTTCCAAAACTCCTACCAGTATTTCCAGAATCGCCCAATGGATTATGGCAATTTTTTGGGTTTAAAAAAGTGGAATTGAACCCCAATATTTCCAAATATTGCTCCGGTACCATAACTATTGTATATTTTTAGAATAAACGCCTCAAAATGTATAACCCAGATTTTTTTATGATTTTTTTGGGCACTTTTTCAACAGCTCGAAAATTACTTGACGAATTTTTTTTGTTAGATATGGCCTTCCAAAATTTATTTTCGGCCTCAATTCGTGGTAAACTCGTATCATTTTTCCAAAATCGCAGTAAGAAATGAGGCAATTTTTTGGATTTTTTTTCTGTACTACTATAAACACAGATTTTTTTGTAGATTTCGCCCTTCAGAATTTATTTTAGGCCTCATTTCTTCGAAAACTCTCGTACCATTTTTCCAGAATCGTCCAATAGATTATGGTAATTTTTTGTATTTTTGAAAAAATTTACATTGATACCGAATATTTTCAATTATTGCAATGGGACCAATGGTATCATAAACATTTTCAGAAACATTACGTCCAGAATTTTTTATGAATTTTTTGTTCACTTTTTCAAAAACTCTTTTTTGCAGTTCGAAAATTACCTAAAAAGATTTTGTTGTAAATTTCGACTTCCAGAATTTATTTTCGGCCGCATTTCGTCGAAAACTGGTACGTTGTTTCCAGAATTGCCCTATGACATCAGGCACTTTTTTGGATTTTTTTTAATTGACTTTCAATCCCAATAGTTCCAAAATCTTACTCCGGTACCATAAACACATATTTTTTTTGTGGATTTTTTGGCCATTTTTTCGAAATCTCAAGTTTTCTATCTGAAAATTTAGACCTTTTTTTTGACCACCTTCAAAAATTTGCCAAACAGATTTTTTTGTTTATTTATTTTTTTAATTGATCCGCCTCAGTTCTTAGAAAACTCGTATTATTTTTCCAAAAAACTTTCGTACCTATTATTACCAAAATCTTGTCCAGGGACCATAAACATTGTATGTATATTTTTAGAATCAGCATGTCGAGATACATATTCCAGAATTTTTTGTTGATTTATGGCAAACTTTTTCAAAAGCTCAATTTTTCAATATAAAAAATCATGAAAACTTTTTTGACCACCTTCGAAAATTACTGAAGGAGATTTTTGTAGATTTCGACCTCCAGAATTTATTTTTGGGCTCATTTCTTCGGAAACCCCTACCATTTTTCCAGAATCGCCGAATGGATTATGGCAATTTTTTGGATTAAAAAAAATTACATTCCAACCGAATATTTCAAAATATTGCTATTGCTCCAGTACCATAAACATTATATTTTTTAGAAATTAACACCTCAAGATCTATCGCTCAGATTCGTTATGAATTTTTTGGGCACTTTTCCAAAATTTCCGTGTTTCAATTCAAAAAGAAACCTAAAGAGATTTTTTTGTAGATTTTGACCCTCGAAACTTTGTTTGCGACCTCAGTACGTTGTAAACTCGTATCATTTTTCCAGAATCGCCCTATGAAATAAGACATTTTTTTTAATTGACTTTCAATCCGAATAGTACCAAAATTTTGCTCCGGTACCATACCACAGAATTTTTTGTGGAATTTTTAGCCACTTTTTCAAAAGCTCAATTTTTCAAGATGAAAATTTTAACCTTTTTTGGCCACGTTCAAAAATTTCCCAAACAGATTTTTTCTAAAGTTCGATGTCCAGAAGTTATTTTTGACCTCATTTTTTCGAAAACGCCTGCTATTTTTCCAGAATCTCTTAATGAAATATGGCAATTTTTAAGGTTTAAAAAAAATCAAATTAAACATCTCTAAATTTTTAGGCAATTATTTCAAAAGCTCAATTTTTCAGTGGTGTGGTTCCCTTTACCAAAAATCTTCACCCACATATTTTCGACCACCTTAGAAAATTACCAAAATAGATTTTTTTGCTCACCCTGTTCGATTTACAGTTCTGACAGTGTCTGTTTCTCACTTTTTTTTAATTATGTAATGTTTCAATTTATTTTCGGCCTCTCGAAAACGCACACTATTTTTCCAGAATCGGCCAGTGAATTATGGTAATTTTTTGGATTAAACAAAAAAAAAACTTTCGTACCGAATATTTCCAAAATCGGGTCCAGATACCATAAACATATATTTTTAGAATCGGAACGTCGAGATACTAAATGCCAGAATTTTTTGTAGACTTTTAGACAACTTTTTCAAAAGCTCAATTTTTCAATATAAAAAAGCATGCGTCGACCCAGGGACGCACGGATGTAGTTTTAACTCTGCGTTGTCAATTTATGTAAATTAAACACGTATACGCGGCGAAGTCATTAATTTTCTCTCAAAAAATAATAAAAAACAAAAATGTGACGTCGGTGTCGGTGTCGGTGTCGAACTCGACATCCTATTCCGGCGCGCGTCGTATACGTCTTCTATAATACGACAAGAAAGGAGTTAAAACTCCAAAAATGATGGAAACTTCAAACTTTTTGACCACCTTCGAAAATTACCGAAAGAGATTTTCTTTGCAAATTTCGACCTACAAGTTCTACCACTTTCCTGATTTTGGCTAATAACTCATTCAAGAGAGGGTGGGTGGGCGGGGCTGGTACCTGCTAAGAGAAAACTGATTTTAGAAAATGACATACCCTCGAAGAAAAGAGAGGGTGGGTCGGCGGGGCTAGTACCTGCTAAGATATGACTGATTTTGGTTAATAACTCATTAGCCAAAATCAGTCATATCTTAGCAGGTACTAGCCCCGCCCACCCGCCCTGTATTTTCTTGGTGGGATCTCATTTGCCAAAGTCAGACTTATCTTAGGAGGTACTAGTTCCGCCCACCCACCCTCTCTTTTCTTAGAGGGTATCTCATTAGCCAAAATCAGTCTTATCTTAGCAGCTACTAGCCCCGCCCACCCACCGTCTCTTTCCTTAGAGGGTATGTCATTTGCCAAAATCCGTTTTATCGTAGCAGGTACTATTAAATTATGGAATTTTTTTGATTAAAAAAAAAATACTTTGAAACCAAAATCTTGCTCCGGTACTATAAGCACTGTATACTGTATATTTTTAGAATTGTTTTTTTAAATCGTCGAGATCTATATCCCAAAAATTTTTGTTGATTTTAAGGCAATTTTTTCAAAAGCTCAATTTTTGAGTACTCCTTCACCGCCCACACGAAAATTTCGACCTATTTTTGACCACCTTCGAAAATTATCTAAAGAGATTTTTTTGTAGAGTTCTAACTTTCACAATTGTTTTTCGCCGTGATTGTAGATATATTTTCCAAACTATCAAATACGATAATAATAACAATTTATTAGAAAAATAAATAAATAAATTTTGACTAAAGAATTCGCTTGTATACTAAATATGTAAAATACGCAAAGGTCGGTCTCCTGTTTCCGTTCATCTGTCCATCTGTCCATCTGTCCGTCGATTCTGTCTGTTGACGATTTTTTTGATTAAGCAATTACTCAAGTTGTCTCAAAAAATTTATGAATTCAGCTGATGACATTAAATGGAATTGTCTCAGAAAAGGTTCACTTAATTTTCTTGAAATTCTGTCAATATAGTACTAACTAGTGTTAAGTGTTGTATATATAACAAAAAAAATATGTAAATGCGGTACTGTTATGCTTGAGAAAGAGAAAATAATTATAAATTTACTGACTGAACTTGATTTTAGACATATTTCTTCTCAAAAAAAAACTTTTACTATTAATTATTATTAATGAGCCATTAAATTTGGATTTTCCACATCTCGATATCTTAGCATGCCTTGCCTATAAAAGAAAGTCTAATAAGATATATTTATACATTGAAAAAACACGGAAAATCCACATCCGCTCACAAAGAAATTATGTAACCGTTTGAGGTAAGTCAGCATTGATCCACCACGTACATGACGAAAAGATTATTTCCCGTGTGTTTTACCACCAGCAAAATACCGACATCGTTGAAAAAATTCAAACTACATATACCTAGATTTATTAGTCTCTGTACACCATCAAAGAAGGCCGGCACGCGTACGCCACCGGTAGCTCTAGGGCGCCTTACGCCCCACACGTGGCAAAACTACTCCAAACAAAAGCAAATACTTAAATACCAGGGTACGACCAAACACAATCGCAATTTACCGCAAACATTGCATCATCGCCCCCATCAAATCGTAAATTAGGTACAGTTGCAACACAGTTTCAATGTCAAAATTCTTCAACAAGGAAGGCAGAGCCACCTCGATCGTGATCCTTCTGCTTTTACCACCGGCAACCGCAACAGGCACTTGACATTCGCAAGAAGACGCTCCATCATCGTTTTCGCCTATAATGAGTTCCTTTGCTGAATCTTAAACTCGATCCGGCTCTCGGCGACTCCGCGAATCGCACAATTATTTCTTGCAAGTCGAAATCGTGGCTCGCGGCATGCACGCAAATTGATTCTTGACCACACAGACGCATTAAAGGTTACCGACACGGCAAAGGCGCATCTTCACAATGACCTACTGCCAGCCTTGACCCGATCACGAAACACCCACCTACCTTATGGGACTAATGGCTGTGGTGCGGTGAATTTAAATGGGTTCTTTGTTGCAGGTGAGGATACCGCTGAAAGTTAATTTTCGGGCCAAACAGAAGGATCTGGTGGTTAATTTGACGAAGAAGCATCTCACGTGTGGGATTAAAGGGCAGCCGCCGATTGTGGATGACGATTTTCCGCATGAGATTAAGCTGGAGGAGTCGACTTGGGTTATTGAAGATGGGCATACTCTCTTATTTAATTTAGAAAAGGTATGTATTACAATTTAAATAAGAGTATGTGGTTTCTATTATTGCATTAATGAATGGAATTTCGACCTAATTTGAAAAATATCTTGAAAATAACACAGACCATTTACTTGTAAATAAACAAAGAAATAGAAAGTAATGAAACTCCGGACATTGAAAAAATGAACATCAAAATCTTCTAAAAATAAAATATTTCGAAACTGATATACATACAATATGTCGTAATTTTTAAAAAGAATCTTCTACCCAAAGGGATGAAATTCATTAAAGCCTACAATTTTAATATCATATTCAAATATACAGGATACTTTATTTAAACGCTATGCACCATACATAGTTACCTTTTTCTAACGGTAACGCCCTATATATTTTTAGAAATCTAGATTCATGATCGTAAAATTGGTCTAATGTTATTTAAACTTTCCTCGTCCTTGAAGTACAGCCCAACACATCCTGTGTCTTTAAAAATTATATACGTATATACTTTTTGTGATAATCTCTATAAATTAAAAAATATGTAGATGAGAGTTCAGAAAAAGTCCCCAACAACCCCCTGCCCCACCCCCATGAACGGTTCGAATACCGCCTATGCCATCAAAATATGATTTCCTAGGGTGAAAACTCAAGACGGACTCATAAACCACCAAGGACAAGAAATTTTATCAAATTTAAATGGCAATTTTTGGTCTGCTTTTGGCTCGATTATTCGATAGATTTTTGGAACGATTTTTTTACCATTGTATTGTTCACTTTTTTTGTTCTACTTGAATTTTTTGTTCAATTTTTTTATATTTTCTTTGTTTTTTTTGTTCGATTTTCGCTTTTTTTTTCAATTTTCTGTTAAGTGCCAGAGTGTCTTATATGTATGATAAAATTTAAATAGAATTTTTGATCTCTTTCGGGCTAGATTTTTTTGTTTTGTTTTTTTTTTCTCAATTTTTGGTTCCTTTTTTTAACTCAATTTTTGTTCGATTTTAATTCCTCGTTTGCTAAGATTCCTTGGCCAATTTTTTTTAATCAAATTTTATCGTTCCAATGTTTTTTGGTATATTTTCTCTCGGTTTATTGTTCAATTTCTTGATTTCTTGGGTCCATTTTTTTTTCTTAACTTTTTTGTTAAATTTTTGCTTTCTTGTATTTTCGCTTTATGTTCTAGTACAAGAGTTTCGTATTTTATAAAATTTAAATGGAAATTTTTGGTCTCTTTTGAGCTCGACCTTTTATTAGGTTTTTTGCTTCGGTTTTTCAAAATTTTTTGTTTGATTGTTTTCTCATTTTTGTGCTTGAATTCTTTGTTCGACTTTTTGCTTTTTGTTCCAATGTTTGCTAATTTTTTTGCTGTGTTTTGTCTTGATTTATTGTTCAATTTGTTGCATGATTTCTTTATTCCATTTTTCTTGCTTGATTTTTTTGGTAATTTTTTTTTATTTTTCTGTTCTAGTACAAGAGTATCGTATTTTATAAAACTTAAATGGGAGTTTTTGGTCTGTTTTGGGTTCGGTCTTTTAAGTTTTTTGATTTGGTTTTTCTAAATTTTTTGTTGCATTTTTTGTAGATTTTTTTACTCAATATTTTGTTCGATTTTTTGCTTTGTTTTTGCATTTCTTGCTCAATTTTTTTTTCTCGACCTATATGTATGGATTTACCCGATTTTTTCCAATTTTTTCTTAATGTTTTTGTTAGATTTTTTTTCTCTTTTTGATCTTTTTTGCTCGGTTTCAATTCCATTTTTTGTACGATATTTTGTTACTCGATTCTTGTTCCATATTTTGTTACTCGATTTTCTTCGTTCAAATTTTTGTAAGATTTTTGTTCCTTTTTTTTACTTCATTTGTGTTCGATTTTTGGTCATTTATACTCCAATTTTTGTTCCTTTTTGCTCAATTTTTTTAATTATTTTTTGTTGAATATTTTGTTTTTTCCCTCAATTTTTTGTATGATTGTTTTCTCAATGTTAAGTTTCTTTGCTCGTTGTCTTTTTTTTTGTTCAATTTTTCATCAATTTCTTTTGAGTTTTTTTATTTGTTTCATTTTTGTTCACTTTTTTACTCGATCTTTTGATCGGGTTTTTTTTGCTCATTTTTTTGTTCTATTTTTTGCTGATTTTTTATATTTTTTCTATTCTTTTTTTTCTCAATTTTTGTTTGACTATTGTCTGAATTTTGTGTAAGTTTTTGTGCTTGATTATTTTGTTCAATTTTTCATCAATTTCTTTTGAGTTTTTTTTTTTGCTCATTTTTTGTTATATTTTTTTTTGCTCGTTTTTTTTTTGTTTAATTTTTAGCTCGATGTTTTGTTACTTGATTTTTTGTTCAAATTTTTGCACGATTTTGCTTCCTTTACTTTTATCCTGATTTGCCCAATTTTTTACTTGATTTTATTCGATTTTTTGCCGATTTTTTTTTTTTTTGGTTTTTTCCTTAGTCGGGTTTCTCTCGATTTTTTTGTTCTATTTTTGCTCGTTTTTTTTTTTGTTTTTTTTTGCTCCATTTTTATTCTATTTTTTGTACGATATTTTGTTACTCGGTTTTCTTGTTCAAATTTTTGCACGATTTTACGATTTTTGTTCCTTTTTTTACTCCATTTTGTTGGATTTTTGATCATTTTTACTCGAGTTTTTATTCCTTTTTTGCTCAATTTTTATTACTTGATTTTTTTGTTGGATTTTTTTCTAGCCTTTATTTTCTAGTTTTTGTGCTAGATTTCTTTGTTCGACTTTTTGCTTTTTGTTCCAATGTTTGCTAATTTTTTTTTTCTTTGTTCCATTTTTCTTGCTAGATTTTTTTTGTTAAATTTTTTCGATTTTTCTGTGTGCTTTTTATTCGATTTTTACGTAATTGTATTGTGGCTTTTCTGTTCTAGTACAAGAGTATGTAGTTTATAAAAACTTAAATGGGAATTTTTGGTCTGTTTTGGGTTGGGTCTTTTGAGTTTTTTGTTTTGGTTTTTCTAAATTTTTTTGTTGCTTTTGTTCTTGGATTTTTTCTAGATTTTTTTATTCAATTTTTGCTAGATTTTTTGTTTGCTTTCTCGATTTTTTGGTGCGATTTTTTTTACTCAATATTTTGTTCGATTTTTTGCTTTGTTTTTGCATTCCCTGCTCAATTTTTTTTTGCTCGGCCCATATTTACCAGTTTTTTCCAATTTTTTCTTAATGTTTTTGTTGGATTTTTTTTTTTTATTTTATTTTTTCTCTTTGATTTTTTTTTGCTCGATTTTAATTCCATTTTTTGTAGGATATTTTGTTACTCGATTCTTGTTTCATATTTTGTTACTCGATTTTTTTGTTCAAATTATTGCACGATTTTTGTTCCATTTTTGTTAGATTGTTGGTCATTTTTTTTACTAGAGTTTTTGTTCCTTTTCTGCTCATTTTTTTTTAAATTGAGTTTTTGTTGAATTTTTTGTTTTTTTTTTCTCAATTTTTCGGTTGATTGTTTTCTCAAAAGTTTCTTGGCTCGATTTCTTTGTTTGATTTTTATTACTTTTTTGCCAAATTTTTTGTTCTATTTTTTTTTTGCTCGATTTTTGTTTTTTTTTACTCGATTTTTTGTCATTTTCTCTCAATTTTTTTGTTTGATTGTTTTATCAATTTTTTTGTAAGTTTTTTTACTCGATTTTTATTCCATTTTTTGCTTCAGCTTTGTCCGATTTTTACTCAATTTTTTTTGTTCTAAATTTTTTGCTCAATTTTTGCTAAATATTTTCATGTTCTATTTTTTCTTCCATTTTTGCTCAGTTTTTTATTTGTTAGATTTTTGCTGCATTTTTTCTTGGATTCTTTTTTAGTCGGGTTTCTCTCGATTTTTTTGTTGGATTGTTTCTCGATTTCTGGTTCATTTTTTTTTTTGTTCAAATTTTTGCACGATGCTTGTTCCTTTTTTTTGCCCAATTTTTTGTGCTGGATTTCTTTGTTCTACTTTTTGTTCGATTTTAATTCCATTTTTTCGCTTGATTTTTTTTCTCAAATTTTCATCAATTTCTTTTGCCTTTTTTTGTTTCATTTGTATTCGATTTTTTGTTCAAAATATTTTTTTTGTTTGCTAATTTTTTGCATATTTTCGTCTTCGATTCCACCATTTTTGTTCGTTTTTTTTTTGTGGTGTTTTTTTTTTTTTTTTGTTCAAGTTTGTGCGCGATTCGTGTTCCTTTTTTTATTCCATTTTTGTTGGCCTTTTTTTACTCAAATTTTATTCCATTTTTTTGCTTGATTTTTTTTCAAATTTTCATCAATTTCTTTTGCCTTTTTTTGTTTCCTTTTTTATTCGATTTTATGGCCGATTTTTTATTCAAAATACTTTTTTTGTTTGCTCATTTTTTGCTTAATATTTTCGTCTTCGATTTATTCTTCCATTTTTTTTATTTAATTTTTTTTGGATTCGTTTTTGGTCGAGTTTCTGTCGATTTTTCTGTTGGATTGTTTTCTCGAGGTCTGGTTTAATTATTTTTTTTTACTCAATTTTTGCCTCTTTTCCGCTTTTCCTGTTCGATTTTTTCTCGATGTTTTTGTTCGATTTTTTGTGCAAAATTTTTGTTTAATTTTTTTTGTTTTGTTTTTTTTTTTTTTTTGTTCAATTTTTTTTGCTATTCAATTTTTAGTTCGATATTTTGTTAATCGATTTTTTTGTGCCTTTTTTTTGCTCAATTTTTTTTACTTGATTTTTTTTTGCTAAATGGATTTTTTTCTCGTTTTTTTTGTTTTCTCAATTTTTTGTTTAGTTTTTTTCCTCCATTTCTTTGTTAGACTTTTTGCTCAATTTTTATTCCATTTTTTTGCTTGTTTTTTTTTTCAGTTTTCATCAATTTCTTTTGCCTTTTTTTTGCTTCATTTTTTGCTTAATATTTTCGTCTTCGATTTATTCTTCCACTTTTGTTCGTGTTTTTTTTTTGTTGGATTCGTTTTTGGTCGAGTTTCTGTCGATTTTTTGTTATTGTTTTCTCGATATCTGGTTCAAATTTTTTTCCAATTTTTTGCTCTTTTCCGCTTTTGCTGTTCAATTTTTTCTCGAAGTTTTTGTTCGTTTTTTTGTGCAAAATTTTTTGTTTCATTTTTTTGTTCAATTTTTATTGCTTTTTTTATTCAATTTTTAGTTCGATATTTTGTTCATCGATTTTTTTTTTTTCAATTTTTTGTTGGGTTTTTCCTGAATTTTTTTTGTAAGTTTTTTTTTTGCTTTATTTCTTTGTTCGACTTTTTGCTCTATTTTTATTCCATTTTTGTTCGATTTTTTATTCAATTTTTTTTCTTAGATTTTTGCTGAATCTTTTGATTTTTTTGCAACATTTTTTGTTCGATTTTTTGTTCCATTTTTTCCTTGCCTTTTTTGGTTCCATTTTTTCGACTTTTCTCTCCGAAACTACTAGACCATCATGTCAAAATGTTCCATAGTAAATTACTTAAATTTCATAAAATAACTAGATTTCTATACTTGTGGTTTATGAAACGGCCTTTATTATTTACCCTAGACGTAGACGAACGCTGAACTTTGCAAATTCTGAATGCCGTACTTTTGATTCAATTTTAGCGAAGTGCGACTAATATCTTTTTTTTTTTTGAAACATTGGATTTCTTTGTTTGTACTTCAGGGGCAAGGGAAATTCTACCCAATTACATAAACCAAACCAAAAGACCAACAATTTACACATTTAATCACAATTTAATTAATCTGAATAAAACTTTCTCAAGAGGATAAATGCAATACATACATAAATATTTAAAAAAAATTAGGGTTGTTTAGCAAATTCTAGAAATTTGTTTTACACATATTAATTTATGGACTTTCCTAATTATAGATTAATAAAATGAACTGGTGGTCTAAACTCGTGCTTTCCGATCCCGAAATTAGTACTAGAAAAATAAACCCGGAGCCTTCTAAACTAAGCGATTTGGACGGCGAAACAAGAGGCTTAGTAGAAAAAATGATGTACGATCAAAGACAAAAGGAATTAGGACTGCCAACTAGTGACGAACAGAAGAAACAAGACGTCATCAAAAAGTACGTATTATACATTTGATCATTCATTTTTAATAACCACGATTATGTACAGGTTCATGGAGCAACACCCCGAAATGGATTTCTCAAAATGTAAATTTAACTAAAGTAGCATTTTACACTGATTTTTAAGTATTTGAATCTGCATAAATAAATAAAGTTTCATTTTTAATGGTGTTTTTTTAAGCAAACGAAACAAAAATTTCAGTGGCGCCCTCTTACGTTTGATTAGCGAAACAAACCTTGAAATGTCAAGTTTTGTATATAAAGAAATCTTCAAAGGTTAAAATTTTATTAAATACAAAATATAAATGCGACACGTAACAAATAAAATATATAACCAGTTAATTCCCTTGGATAAAATGTAGCCCCAGCGATAAAATCAGTACGAATAAGGCGAGCACTGCACCAATGTAGTACAAGGATGGAGTGGTTTCTAGCGTTTTCTTGGGAATCATTTCTTCGCTCTCGGTTTCCGCAGCTTCATTGTAATAGTCTGACAAATCTGTTAAAGCAAAAATGAAATAATTTAACAACAAAAAAAAATCGTGCGTACCAGCTTGACCCTCTGCATCCACCACATCCTTCTCACTATTAATTTTAATGTCTAGCATTTCTTCCAGAGAAATTTTAGCATCATGGGGACCTTCTCCGGGAAAAAGGTAATCAGAAATGGCAATATTGCTATTTGGTAAATTTATCAGAACGCGACGTGGGGGCTCGTGGACACTATTCATGTCTTCTCCGTGCTCTTCTTCAGTCAGTGAATCCCAGTGCATCTCCAATCTCGTGGACATACTTCTCAGGATATCTTGCATGACGGATTCTGACGCTCCACTGATAGAAAGTTTTGGATTCAGCCACAGTTTTGACACCACATTTCCAAAAATACGAATTTGATTACCAGAGTCACTTATTTCAAAAGAGTTTAAATCGCCACTTTCCTATAGTGAATTAATTTTATTATTATTATTATTTTTGTACATAGCTAAAAATAACTTACACATGGTTGCAAAATACAAACGTGTATGGGTTTAAAATTATCATCATGACCACTCAGTTTACTATTTCTTGAAATTTTCTTTTTACCTATACTTTCAACACTCTCGTCGGCGTCTTTTAACTCCCCGTCAAACAAATATATGGACGATTTTAAATTTTTATTCATTATATCCAATATTATCTGAAAATCTAGATATCAAAAACTGTCAATTTTCCCGCCAAGTGTCAGCAAAATAATAACCAATCAGGAATGAGGGATAAAATAACGTTACAAAGAACTACCAAAACTCACCCCTATGTGTTTCTTTAGCGGCCAGTCACTCTCATTGTCACTAATATGATAAACATGATCCATCTGGTACTTACAATGAATTTGTGCCCACCGAATAGGACTCGCTAAAAATTTGAATTCCGCAGGCTTCACAGACCCCACCCCCACTTCAAAACTTTTACACGTGACCTGTTGTGTCGTCAAACAATAATTTAAAACGAGCTTTTCATTACTGGCAGTGTTGCCAAATAGGTATTTCTGGGACTCCAGGTGCTTGTGAACACAGTTCAAGATCCCTTTGATTTTGGGCGAAAACGGGTTCAGGGCGTCCTCAAGCGACACGATAAATATGCCCAGGACGTACATTCCGCCAGGGAGGGTACGGGTGGCTTGCCGGGCATGGTCCGCCACCCATTCCTCGTCGATGTCGTTGATTGCTGTCAAACGAGGTGGGTCTTTGGCATCCTGAGACTGAATAGGGGGTGTTTTGGCGAAGTGTATGACGTAGTCTTTTCCAGACGATGACTGTTAAAAGAGGAGAGTGAGCATATGTTGACGAAAGTGAGGTTAGAATTACCTGACCTAAAATTAGTCCTACGGTGTAGGGGTTTTGTTTGGCAATGGTGTGAAGGTAGGATAAGAGGCGGTCGTCGGAGACGGCGCTGCGGACCATTTTACGGTAATTTTAAAACGTAAAAATAATATTGTACACAAATTTAATTAGACGAGTGACATTTACAACAACACAACAGGAACTGTCAAACTGCCGGAAGTGTCAGGTGGTGTAAGTTGTGTTGCCTACCACACTAATTGTATTTCTGAATTAGTTGCTTTAATTGTTTATAAATATACATAACTTTAGCTTATTTGTTTTAATGCTTATGTAATTTATAACTGCCCTTTTTGTTAAAAAGTGAAAACGGTAAATGTATAATGTAACTTTTGTATATGCAACCAAGAATACAGTATGATTATCCATTCGATCTATTTTCATTTATCTATCCAATCATCCCCACCATAGATTAATATAGATGCGACATACAGGCCGATTTTGCAAAACCACCCTTATTGACATTGGGGTCCTCAACCGCCAAAGGCAAGCGCCAAATTTAAATATTCGATTCCAATAAAAAAAACTTGATTCACTACAACTCGTCGCCTGAAAACTTGTTTGATTTACAGACCAGAGCGCGCTCAAGCCAATGTCGACTCTAAGCGTTCAGAAGCTATTTGGTTGGTTTAGACTATAATTTCTGCGGGAAATAGTTGTTTGGTCGGTTTTTATAACGACCAAGTGAATATTTTTGGTACATATTTAGATGATTTTACATATTTTGTTTAACTAAGAATTAATTCTTTATTTGTGGTTTATACTAGCAAAACGTCTTAAACTAAGAATATTGTTGAAATCGTAATAACACAATGGTTTTTTTTTCGGGATAACGTTTTGGAAACACTGTGTTCTATTTTGTACGATTCTTTTTAATGTTTTTAGTGACAATTTTTGTGGTTGTTTTCGATACACTGTATGATATTAACAGTGAGAAAAAAATAAACAATTAAAATAATCGAAAATTCGAAAAATCGAGAAATCTAATAATAATCGAAAAATCGAAACCTTAAAAAATCGTAAAACCGAAACATTGAAAAATCGAAATATCGAAGAACTGAAAATCGAAAAAATGTAAAATTTAAAAATCGAATAACGAGAGATTGAAAGATCAAAAGAACGAGAAATCGAAAAGTGATGATGTCGAAAAATCGAAAAATAGAGAAATCGACAAACAAAAAGTTAAAAGTTGAAAAATTGGAAAAGCGGAAAAATCAAAAAACGAAAAAATGGAAAACTGGAAAAACTGGGAAACGGAAATAGGCCAAAATAAAAAATTGAAAAAGTGACGAATCGAAAATCTGAACAACCAAATCTCGATAAATCGGGAATGAAAAATTAACAAATCGAAAAATTGAAAAACAGAACATCTAAAACCAGGAAGTCGAAAAATAGAAATATTAAGAAATATTGAAAAATTAAAATATCAAATTTTGAAAAATCTAAAATTTAAAAATCCAAAAATTGAAAAATCGAAAAAGTAAAAAGGTAGACAAATCGAAAACTCAGAAGTCAAAAATAAAAAAGCCGAAGAATTGAAATATTGAAAAATCCTAAAACTGAAATATCTAAAACTGAATAATCGAAAAATCAAAAAAGTGAAGTCGAAAAATAGAAATCTTAAAAAATCGAAAAACTGAAAAATCAAAAACCTGAAAAATCAAAAAATTAAAGAATTGAAGAACAGGAAAATTGAAACAGTCGAAGGTCAAGAAATGGGAAAATCAAGACATCGATTAATTGAAAAATCAAAAGATTAAGAAATCGAAACTTTTGAAAAATTCGGAAACTTGAAAAATTGAAATGTCGAAGAACTGAAATGAAAAATCGAAAAATCTAAAATTTTAAAAATTAAAAAATATAAAATTAAAAAATCGAAAAATTGAAAAATCGAAAAAGTAAAAAAATCGACACATCGAAAACTCCAGAAGCCAAAAATCGAAAAGTCGAACAATCGAAATATTGAAAAATCCCAAAACTGAAATATCGAAAATCTGAAAAATGAAAGAAAAACTAAAAATGGAAAACTAAATCGGGAAATCAAAACATTGAAAAATCGAAAAATTTAAAAAGACAATTGAAAACAGAAAGTCTAAAACCGGGAAGTCGAAAAATCGAAAAGTCAAAAATAGAAAAGCCGAAGAATTGAAGTATTGAAAAATCCTAAAACTGAAAGATCTAAAAACTGATAAATCGAAAAATCAAAAAAGTGAAGTCGAAAAATAGAAACCTTAAAAAATCGAAAAACTGAAAAATCAAAAACCTGAAAACTCAAAAAATTAAAGAATTGAAGAACAGGAAAATCGAAACAGTCGAAGGCCAAGAAATGGGAAAATCAAAACATCGATTAATTGAAAAATCAAAAAATTGCCAATTTATAAATGTCAAATTTGAAAAATTGAAAAATCGAAAATTTGAAAAAACGACAATTGAAAAACAGAAAATCTAAAACCGGGAAGTCGAAAAATCGAAAGATTAAGAAATCGAAACATTTGAAAAATTGAAATATGGAAGAGCTGAAATGAAAAATCGAGAAATGGAAAAATCTAAAATTTTAAATATTGAAAAGTTAAAATACCAAAAAATTGAGAAATCTAAAATTTAAAAATCCAAAAAGTAAAAAGTCGACACATCGAAAAATCCAGAAGTCAAAAATGGAAAAGTCGAAGAACAGAAATATTGAAAAATCCCAAAACTGAAATATCGAAAAATAGAAAAATGAAAGAAAAACTGACGAATCGAAAAACTGAAAAATCTCAACATTGAAATATCCAAAAACTGGGAATCTAAAGAATGGAAGAATTGACAAATCGAAAAATCAAAAAAGTGAAGTTGAAAAATCGAAACCTGAAAAAATAGAAAAATTGAAAAACCAAAAAACATTAATTGAAAAATCGACAAATAAAGAGTTTATAAAAATCAAATCTAGTGTTAGCTTGTCGAAAGTAAAACGCGTCGTTAAAAATATTATGACATTTTTTCTAGTTAATTTTATTCCTAGTTAGAAACAAACACTGTTGCCAACATAAGTCGAGGAGTCCTCAACGTCACTTAATTTAAACTATGACGCTTTTCTATGTTCTCTGATCCCCACCAACAATGTGATGACGTCACCTCAGTATGTTAATTAAATTTTAAGTTTGTCTAGAATGTACAAAATAATATGCTTCTGTTCAAAATGGTATTAAAAAAATATTTAATTAATCATTTTAGGTTAATAACTCCAAATACAATTATTTCTCTTATCGATTTAATTTTCTCATTATTATCACTGCAAGAACTAGACATGATTACACCACAAACAAGCAATTTACGGATTATATCTTTTTAATTATAGATAAAGGGTTGTAACTACAAGTCATCCCACATGCTTAACGTTGACCCATAGGTTAATTGAATTAGACAAAAAGTCTTATAAAACTCGCCGGTTATGTCGTTTGTGCACTTGAAGACATGGCTCCAGTAATAGAAGTTATAACTGAGCGTGTAACCCTTGGTGAAGGTCCCCACTGGGATGAGGCAACCCAAAGTCTTTACTATGTGGACATTTTTGGTCAAGCGATCCACAAATTTGTGCCTTCTACTAATACACACACCAAAGTGGTACTAGGTAAGTAATAATTAATTTCAAAAACTGGCAGATATTATTATTATTATTATTACTATTTAATTCGTTTTCAGAAGGAGGTCCTGTAACTTTAGTGGTTCCCGTTGATGGTGCTACTAACCAGTTCGTTGTAAGCATTGCAAGAAAACTACTCCTGGTCACTTGGGACGGCGTCAGTGATAAAATCTCCGATTCCGAACTTTTGATTGAAGTTGAAAATAAGCCTGGTTATTTCAATAACAGGTTCAATGATGGCAAAGCTGATCCTTCTGGGCGTCTATGGGCCGGTACTGTCACCAAAATCGTACTATTTTCCATCCACTAACTCTCTTTTTACAAAGGTACAATGGGTCCAGAACCCGAAATCGGGAAACTCGAAAAAGAAAAAGGTGCTTTGTACACTCTGGTCGGGAAGCATCAAGTTAAGACACACTTGACTAAAGTGAGCATCGCCAACGGTTTAGCGTGGGACCTGGGGCTGAAAAAAATGTACTACATTGACTCCCCCAGACGCACTGTGGATGAGTACGACTACAACATCGAAAAAGGAGAAATCTGTGAGCACTAGTATGAAAATAGCGCACTCCTATACTTAGTAAAATTTTTGTTCCAGGTAACCGCAAGGTTGTTTTCAACCTGGACGTCCACGATATTCCAGGTGTTCCCGACGGGATGACCATGGACACAGATGGAAATTTGTGGGTGGCAGTCTTCGACGGAGGGTGTTTGTTGCACATCAACCCCAAAACTTCTGAATTAATTTCGAAGATCAATTTTCCGGCACGTCAGGTAAGTTGTTTTTTCGAAAATTGGGACAAATTTTGCATTTTTTGGTTTTATTGGGGTGTTACAGATAACGGCTGCCGCTTTTGGGGGACCCAATCTGGACGAACTTTACGTCACTAGCGCCCAGCTTGTTGTCAACGGGGTTAAGCAACCGCATCCCGCCGGAGCCGTCTTCAGAGTCACGGGATTAGGAGTCAGAGGACAGCCTGGCGTTAAAGTAAAAATACCGAAATAATGTAAAATACAGTGATTTGTATCAGTAGTAAATGAATAAAATTTGCAACGAGATGTTGTTTATTTTTTTCGTGTTTGTGAAGTTGGATTACGTGGAAGAGACTTTTCTTTAAAATATCCAAAAAGGGGTTAAAAAGTGTAAAGCATTCTGTTTCTTCTAAGCTAATAAAATAAAGAAAATTCTTCACTTATTCACATAAAAAAATGGCCCAGGATTATTACAATAATTGATAATATCTCTTTTGATAAAACTTTATTTTAATCTTTCGTTTGATAAGTTTTATATCACAAATTAATAAATCATTTACACTTCAAGTATTTTTTTAATTATTATTATCAAATAGATTGTTATTTTAATCGTTAATAATTAATAATTAAAATAGTAATTTATAAATAACGATAAAAACATTTTGGATGTTACGAGGTCATTTTGAAAAGTTGAATGCAATTTATGCTTTACTGTCACTCAACGCTTGAAGTTTGAACGATTTGTCCGATAACCCCAATGTCAAAAATGTCAAAACTAAAGATTATCAACTTCCACAAATTCGAGAATAAATGTTCAAATTCAAGCTGTAAGAAAATATTAGAACCCTCCCGTTTGCGAGTACCCGACGATATTAATTTTAACAAACAATAATTGTCAAGGTCTTTTGTTTCAAGATGGATTCATTGTTTTAATTTTCGAGTGAGTAGCTTATGAAGTGTGAATGATACAATAACTAATTAACTTAAATGAAAACATCCAGAACTAAAAAAATAGTTAAGCTTGAATAATTGAATTTCCTGTCACGTGTTTTACTTAAAAGTATTTCAGATCAGAAAACTGCTAATTAACTGGTCTTACACTAATTACATTCGTCTGACTCTCTACTTTTACGTTTTCTCGACCTTTCATGACGCCTACAGTACGTTTCCATCTATCTGTCTGTCCGTCTGTCTGCCGTCGCGGATTTTTATTAGACAGATAATCTCCAAAAGTACTGGGCCAATTGTTGTCAAATTTTGTATTTATACGTATTAGGAAGATCATGTAGATTATAAAACGCTAACCAAAATTTGTCTAATCATCCCCACTAATAATGTGATGACGTCACTTCAAAATTGTACATAGTAAATGGGTTTTAAATTATTATGACACAATTTCGGGAGCCCCAATGCTTGAAGTATCGTATTCTTGAAAGAAAACTGTATACATATTAAGAAAAAGAAACCTTGATAAATTAAGCCCCACCCACCCGCCCTTCTCAATTGTGACGAATTTTTCATTTGTTGTCAGATCGAAGGGCGGAGCTTAATTGCAAAATTCATGTTTGTTTGATTCTTTAAAAAAATTATTAAAGAGTCTTGAGGGATCCGAGTGTCTTTTTAAGAGGATTATGAAGGAAACTCGGGGGCCACGAGTGTCTATCTTAAATGATTGACACAATCCCAATGCCACGTGTGTCAATTTTATAATGATTATAACACAATCTCGAAGACCACGAAAGTCTATTTTAAATTATTATGACGCAAGTTCGGGGGCCCCAATGTTTTAACTATCGTGTTGTTGAAAAATAACTATATGTATTTATATTGAGAAAAAGAAACTTTGATTAATTAGTAGCTACCAAGATAAGACTTTTTTGGCAAATGAGATACCCTCTAGGAAAGAGAGGGTAGGTGGGCGACGCTACTAGCTTCCATTTTCGTCCTATTTATCCTTTTTCGACCCTTTTCGTACTTTTCGTCATTTTTCGTCCTTTTTCATTCTTTTGGACCTTATTACCCGCTTTCGTCCTTTTCGTCCTTTTCATCCTTTTTCGTCCTTTTCGCCTTGTTTCGTCCTTATTATCCTTTTTCGTCCATTTTCCTCATTTTCGTCGTTTTTGTCCTTCTCGTCCTTTTTCGTCCTTATTATCCTTTTTCGTCCTTGGTCCTTTTTCGTCCTTTTCGTCCTTATTATCCTTTTTCGTCCTTGGTCCTTTTTCGTCCTTGGTCCTTTTTCGTCCTTTTCGTCCTTATTACCATGTTTCGTCCTCTTTCTTCCTTATCATCCTTTTTCGTCCTTCTTCGTCCTTTTTCGTCCTGATTATTCTTTTTCGTCCTTTTCGCCCTGTTTCGTCCTTTTATCCTTTTTCGTCCATTTTCGTCATTTTCGTCCCTTTTCGTCCTTATTATCCTTTTTTGTACTTTTTCGTCCTTTTTGGTCCAAACTATCGTTTTTCGTCCTTTTTCGTCTTTTCTCGTTTTTTTCGGCCTTATTATCCTTTTTCATACTTGTTCGTAATTTTCGTCCTTTTTCGTCCTTATTATCCTTTTTCGATCTTTTTCGTCCTCATTATCCTTTTTCTTCCTTATTATCTTTTTTCGTCCTTTTTCGTCCTTTTCGTCCTTATCATCCTTTTTCGTCCTTATTATCCTTTTTCATCCTTTTCGTCCTTTTTCGTCCTCTTCCGTGCTTTTTCGTCTTTTTGGTCCTTCGTCCTTTTTCGTTCTTTTCGTTATCTTTCGTCCTCTTTCGTCATTCGTCTTTTTCGTCCATTTCGTTCATTATTACCCTTTTTCGTCCTTATTATAGTTTTTCGTCCTTATTATCCTTTTTCGTCCTTATTGGTCCTTTTCGTCCTTCTTCGTCCTTTTCGTCCTCATTACCCTTTTTCGTCCTTATTATCCTCTTTCGTCCTTTTTCTCCCTTTTTGTCGTTCTCGTCCGTTTTCGTCCTTATTAACCTTTTTCGTATTTTTCATCCTTTCCGTCCTTTTTCATCCTTCTCATCCTTTTTCGTCCGTATTATCCTTTTTCGTCCTTTTTCGTCCTTATTATCCTTTTTCGTCCTTTTTCTTCTTTTTCGTCGTTCTCGTCCGTTTTCGTCCTTATTAACCTTTTGCGTATTTTTCATCCTTTCCGTCCTTTTTCATCCTTCTCATCCTTTTTCGTCCGTATTAACCTTTTTCGTATTTTTCATCCTTTCCGTCCTTTTTCATCCTTCTCATCCTTTTTCGTCCGTATTATCCTTTTTCGTCCTTATTATCCTTTTTCGTCCTTTTCGTCCTTTTTCGTCCGTATTATCCTTTTTGTCCTTATTATCCTTTTTCGTCCTTATCGTCCTTTTTCGTCCTTTTCGTCCTTTTTCGTCCGTATTATCCTCTTCGTCCTTATTATCCTTTTTCGTCCCTTTTCGTCCCTCATTTCTGCTTCATCCTTATTATCCTTTTTCGTCCTTTTTCGTCCTTCTTCGTCCTTTTCGTCCTTATTATCCTATTTCGTCATTTTTCTACATTTGTCGTTCTGTTTCGTCCTTTTCGTATTTTTTCTTCCTCATACGATAATAAGAACGAAAAGGACGAAAAAGGACGGAAAAGAACGAAAAAGGACGAAAAGGACGAAAAAGAACGAGAAAGGACGAAAGACGAAAGAGTACAAAAAGATCGAGAAAGGACGAAAAAGAAACGAGGGACGGAAAGGGACGAAAAAGGACGAAAACGACGGAAAATGAAAAAGGACCAAAATGGATAATAAGGACGAAAAAGGAAAAAAAAGGACGAAAAAGGGTAATAAGGAGGACAAAGAATGAAAAGGACGAAAAAGAATAAATAAGGGTGTGGGGACAAAAAATCTGCACAAATTTCAAACTAGAATAACTGTATTATAAAAGCAGGTATTAATAACGTGATCAACAACATTTATAAAAACAACTTTAAAGAACACAATCTGCACCATATCTGCTTGCTTTACGAATTTTTGTTTTAACACGGCGCATTAAATTTGTAAAAGCCGATATTTTTGTTTGCCGTATTTTCAGCAGTATACGCTTCTTTAATTCTGCATGTGTCGAGGCTTCCCATCCATTTTCGTACACATTCCTCTTTAGGTTTCTCCAAAAACGTTCAATTGGGCGTAGTTGAGGTACGTTGGGAACATTTTTGTCCTTAGGGATAAAAGGAATGTTTAACTCATTATATGCAGCAATAACGTTAGCTGCGTAATGAGCTGTTGCCATGTCTGGCCAAAATACAAAATTGCCATCCGAATGCTTTTCTCTTATAAAGCGGACAAGTCGAGACCTAACGCACTGTTTTTCATAAATATCTGCATTAACAGAATTTCCAGATGGGCAAATAAACGCAGTAGAATGTCTACGTGAAGAAATGGCCAACCAGACCAACAACTTGGACTGAAATTTTTTATGACGTTTGAATTTCACTTTATCATCTACTTCTTCTCCTTCCTTGCAATAGAAATGTTTATTATTAGCAGTATCGCTACCATCAAAAGTGAAGTAGGATTCGTCATCGATGATTATTTCAGTTCCATTTGAGGGGGAAAAAGCGGATTCAGAAAGATGCCTTAATTTTCGTTTTTGTTCCAGCTTTTGTTTTTCTGAATATTTGGGGGCGGATTTTCTCGTTGCAAGCTTGACATTATTGTCCTTTAATATGTTGCTAACATACTTTTTGTCAATTTTAAATTTCCGTCCAAGCTTTCTTAGTGAAACACCAAGTTTACCATGACTTTGATTGACTAAGGCTTCTCTCTTCTTCTGGGGCATTTTTCTTGCTGGTCTTCCGCTTCCTACTTGTCTTTCTACCGAATTCCCATTCTCTACTCTTCTGCAAATGCTATAAGTTGTCCTTTTTGATATCCCCATTTGGAAGAAGTGATTAACGGTGAATGACTTTTTTAAATGCATATGCCTTCTATAAAATTCGGCAATCACAGATCGGCGATCATTTTCATTTAAGTGTTCCATTATTACAAAAAATATTGAAACTTTCGAGAGGAACTAGGCATAACAATTTTTAACAACTGTCAAAAAATGTCATAACGTCAATCGTCATTTTTCTCAAAGCTAACTCGATTTTCGGTAAATTAAAATTTGTGCAGATTTTTTGTCCCCACACCCTTAAGAACGAAATATGACGAAAAGGTCGAATAAGAACGAAAAAGGACGAAAGAGGAAAAAGTACAAAAAGATCGAGAAAGGACGAAAAATGACGAAAAAGGACGAGAAAGAACCGAGGGACGAAAAGGGACGAAAAAGGACCAAAAAGACGAAAAATGACGGAAAAGGACGAAAAAAAAAGAGGGACGAAAAAGGACGAAAAGGACGGAAAAGGACGAAAAAGGATAATGAGGACGAAAAAGGGTAATAAGGACGACAAAGAATGAAAAGGACGAAAAAGGATAAATAAGGACGAAATATGACGAAAAGGACGAAAAAGAACGAAAAAGGAAAAAGTACAAAAAGATCGAGAAAGGACGAAAAATGACGAAAAAGGACGAAAAAAAAGAGGAACGAAGAAGGACAAAAAGGACGAAAAAGAACGAAAAGGACGGAAAAGGACGAAAAGGACGGAAAAGGACGAAAAAGGATAATGAAGACGAAAAAGGACCAAAATGGATAATAAAGACGAAAAAGGAAAAAAAAAGGACGAAAAGGACGAAAAAGGGTAATGAGGATGACAAAGAATGAAAAGGACGAAAAAGGAAGAAATATGACGAAAAGGACGAAAAAGAACGAAAAAGGACGAAAGAGGAAAAAGCACAAAAAGATCGAGAAATGACGAAAAATGACGAAAAAGGACGAGAAAGAACCGAGGGACGAAAAGGGACGAAAAAGGACGAAAAAGACGAAAAATGACGAAAAAGGACGAAAAAAAAAGAGGGACGAATAAGGACGAAAAGGACGAATAAGAACGAAAAGGACGAAAAAGGATAATATAAGGAAGAAAAAGGACGAAAAGGACGGAAAAGGACGACAAGGACGAAAAAAGACGAACCCGGACGAACAAAGGACGAAAAAGGACAAAAAAGGACGAAACAGGACGAAAAAGAACGGAATGGGCGAAAAAGGACGAAAAAGGATAATAAGACCGAAAAGGACGAAGAAGGACGAAACAGGATAATAAGGACGAAAAGGACGAATAAGGACGAAAAGGACGAATAAGGACGAAAAGGACGAAAAAGGACGAAAAAGAATAATAAGGAAGAAAGAGTACGAAAAAGACGAAAATGACGAAAGATTTAGACATTTTCGAAACTCAACTAAATACATTTTCTTGTATATTTCGGGCTCTAGAACTCAAATCCGCCTCGGTTTTTTGATGCCTGTAACCGTTTTTCCAGAATCGACCGTTGAAATCCCGAAATTTTTGAAATTTTCAAAAATTCGCATTTCGCAGCGATTTTTTTGAAAATGTTGCTTCGTGACAACATGCTATATTTTTGGAATCAGCGTGTCGAGATCTACGTTCCTGAATTTTTTCATAATATTTAGACATCTTTTTTAAAATTGAAATTTTTTAATGGTTCCCCTTCTTCAAATTTCGCAAAAATTTCGACATTTTCGAAACTCAACTAAATACACTTTCTTGTATATTTCGAGCTCTAGAACTTAAATCCGGCCTCGGTTTTTTGATACCTGCAACCGTTTTTCCAGAATCGACCGTTGAAATAACGAAATTTTTGAAATTTTCAAAAATTCGCATTTCGCGGCGATTTTTTCGAAAATGTTGCTTCGTGACATGCTATAATTTTGGAATCAGGGTGTCGAGATCCTAAATTTGATGTACTGTACTTTACAGACGAGGGAAGTTCTGTCCAAATAATGTTCGACCAATTTTTTTATGGTGTGTAACTGTCGTACTTTGATTTCTGAAGAAATTATCGTTGAAATGTAATTTATCATTGTTAAACTAAAAATAGCAACAAATGTACAATAACAGTAATTATTATTCGATTACATAATTAAGTCAAGTGAACCATCAAAGACTAAAACACTGAAGAATGGTTAGTTTTTTGTGCTCGAGAATCTTGTCATTGAGACCGTACGTATTTAATAGATATCGTATTATCGTTTTATTTATTTTTAGCCCATAATTGCAGTACTGTATATCTTGATAAGAGTGCACTCGTGATATCAAGATCTGAAATTTCCACTGAGCGATGTTATCACACAAATAACTTAAATTTTTATACAGAATTTACATTTATTAACATAATCCCACTATAGTGCTACATATTTTTATGCAATAATACGATCGGATTTATAAACATAGTTTTATCTCTGAAACTATATCCCGTCGGGACCTATAACTTCTTCCCACAATTTAAAACTGGGTCACATAGTACTTAACAAAGCTAGTAATCATGCTTACAAGAGACATGTTTGTTGCACATTGATTAGATAATTAACTACACTTGTATATATACAATAGAACTGAACACGTAACACTCCATTTTAGTGCTTCGTTCAACACCTTCTTGAAAAAAAAAATTGTGGTCGATGGCAACTGTAGAACGAGTAATCGACGGCTGCAGCCTTGGTGAAGGCCCCCACTGGGACGTTCCCAGCCAAAGTCTATACTTTGTTGACATATTTGCAAACAACATACTAAAATACACCCCATCGACGAAAATCCTTACGAAAGCGTCACTCGGTAAGAACTTTTCCAACTTCTACACAATCATCACCCATGCTTTCAGAGAAATCGCCGTCTTTCATTGTACCCGTCGAAGGTAGAAGTAATGAATTTATTGTCTCACAAGAGTCAGAACTGGTGATAATATACTGGGATGGCGAAAGCGAGGACGTACAGGTGGTGGAAAAAGTGTGTGCTGTGGACAATTCTGAAAAAAAATTCAACGATGGAAAGTGTGACTCTTTGGGACGACTGTGGGCTGGTCAAAACACAACTATAATTTATACAATAAATATATATTAAACAAAAATTGTAGGTGCTCACATCGTCCCTACTGACGACTTCACGCAGGCTCAGCCACTAGGTACTTTGTACAATCTTGACACAAACAATCAACTTGTAGACCAAGCTGGTGAAATTCGGGTTTCAAATGGACTGGCCTTCAATGAAACGACCCAAAAACTGTTCTACATTGATTCTTTAGAACAAAGAGTTGATAAGTTTGACCTGGACGTTACTAAAGGCACTATCTGTAAGTCTACATTTGTCAAAACTCAGTTACACCTTTTTGAACTCTAGCAAACAAGCAGCCTTGGTTTACTTTCCATAGATTAAGTATTTCTGGATATCCCGATGGGATGACGATTGATACAGACGGTAATCTTTGGGTCGCCGTTTTTCAAGGTAGTCGTGTATTGAAAATTGACGGCAACAAGTGTGAAACCTTGTTAGACACCATTAACATACCCACCGAACAGGTACTATTTTTTCGCAACATAATAGTTTAGATAAACTGGATCATTTATAGGTAACTTCTGTGGCATTTGGTGGGTCAAATCTGGACGAACTATATGTAACTACTGGATCTGTAGACGGTTTCGGGAAAAGAGAAACGAGTCCTCCGGATAGTGGTGCGACTTACAAGGTCACTGGAACTGGTGCTAAAGGTCTTCCCGCCACTAATTTTAAACTACATCAATGAAAAACTTAAACCAATGTACAAAGGTTTTGACATAATAAAATGTTGACAGTGGTATTTTCTTAATCTTCGAACCAACAAAAATCATGAATGCATCACTCAAGATTGTGTTTGTTTTTCAATGAATGCTAAAGCGTAACTGATTAGATAATTCATTTTTTATATACGAACAAAATTACATTGTAGTCAATGACAACCCGACCATCTTATAAGTGGTATTAAAAATTGTAAAAAAAATGCCAACGATTGAAAGAGTCGCTGAAGGTTGTATTCTGGGTGAAGGACCCCATTGGGACGCTTCCACTCAAAGTCTATTCTTGGTTGACGTACCAGGAAGGCAGATTTTGAAATACACACCATCAACCAACAAACTGACGAAGGCTCCAGTTGGTAAAAATTTGCATTTCGTTATGAAACATTTAATAACTGTTAGTTCGTTTTTAGAAAAACAGCCATCATTTATTATACCCGTGGAAGGAAAAATCAACGAATTTGTTATCTCGCAAGGGAACGAACTGGTTGTTGTATTTTGGGACGGCGAAACTGAAGATGTGAAAATACTACAAAACATTAGTAAAGTGGCGACTTCAGTCGAAATTCCAAACTATTTCAACGACGCTAAATGTGATTCCTCTGGACGATTATGGACTGGTAATGAATTAACAATTTTTGACAAATGAATCTAAAGTATGAATTTTTGGTAGGAACTGTTAGCATTGCCGCTGATATTTTCAAAACCCAACCTCTAGGCACTCTGTACAGTGTTGACGCGACCAAACAACTCAAAAGCCACGTCGACAAAATCTATGTATCTAACGGAATAGCTTTCAATGACAAAATTAAAAAAATGTTCTATGTCGACTCCTTAGGAGGTGGGGTTGATCAGTTTGACTTCGATGTTACTACTGCCACCATCTGTAAGAAATTGTAACCACAACAACTACTATTTAACTATCTTTAAACACAAATTGCAGCCAACAGAATACCTTGGTTTGATTTACAAAAACTGGGCATTCCTGGGATAGTGGACGGGATGACCATAGATTCAGACGGTAATCTATGGGTCGCAGTGTCTAGAGGAAGTCGCGTCCTGAAAATCGACGGTTATAAAGCGCAAACTTTGCTCGATACGATCAATTTTCCTACCCAAAAGGTAGCCAGTTTTATTACTAACGATTTTTATATAACGGAATTTTGATAGGTAACTTCTGTAGCTTTCGGGGGAGCAAATCTGGATGAGTTGTATGTGACTACAGGGCATATGGTGTATGACGAAACGAAACCACGTGATCCTGCAGCAGGTGCTATTTATAGAGTGACAGGACTCGGTGTTAAAGGAATTCCAGCTGTTAATTTTAGACTAAGTGTTTAAATTTGGAGCAATGTTGTGCAATATTGTGTACTTAAAATAAAATGTATTGAGTAATGAGATACTCGAAAAATTATGTGTCTCAATCAATAATATTATCGATGTCGATTATACTGGGTGTCCGGAAAACGGCGTATTATTTTGGGATCCCATGAGATTTTTTTGTAAATTTTTTTGGTGTTCGATTTTTGGAAAATTCTGACCTGATCTGTTTTTGAGTAAATTTTGGGATCCCGTTATTTTACTTTACTTTCATGTCCCTTACAGTACGAAGAAATAGGTTTCCCGTTTCCGTCTGTCTGTCTGACCGTCCGTCTATCTAACGTCCCGGATTTTTATTAGACAGATAAACTCGGAAAGTACTGGGCCGATTGTTGTTAAATTTTGTATTTATATTAGGAATATCGTGTAGATGGTAAAACGCTAAGCAAAATTTGCCTAATCATCCCCACCAATAATGTGATGACGTCACTTGAAAATTGTATGATATATAAACAAACGTGTGTTACATTACTGAATGTTGAACAAAAATTGTTGAATGTTTAATGTCGCTTTTTTTTCAACATTTCGGTATTTCAATTTTTTTTTATTGTTCAATGTTTCGTTTTTTACTTCCCGAGCGTAAGCAAAGGAAGTATTGTAATCGAGTCCGTTGGCCGACTCTCTACTTTTACGTTTTCTCGATCTTTCATGACCCCTAGAAGACGAAGAAATAGGTCTCCCATTTCCGTCTGTCTGTCCGTCTGTCCGTCTGTCCGTCTGTCCGTCTGTCCGTCTGTCCGTCTGTCCGTCTGTCCGTCTGTCCGTCTGTCCGTCCGTCCGTCTGTCCGTCCGTCTGTCCGTCTGTCCGTCTGTCCGTCCGTCTGTCCGTCTGTCCGTCTGCCGTCCCGGATTTTTATTAGACAGATAATCTCCGAAAGTACTCGACCGATTGTTGTGAAATTTTGTACTTATATTAAGAATATCATGTAGATGGTAAAACGCTAACCAAAATTTGTCTAATCATCCCCACCACTAATGCGATGACGTCACTTCAAAATTGTACATAGTAAATGGGTTTTCAATTGTATAAAATAACATAGTCCTACACATGTAGTTTACAACTCTGAATCGACTTTTCACCCGAAACGTCCAGATTTTTGGAAAAAAAATCAAAATTATAAAACAACATTTTGAAATTTAATTTTTAATCTGCTATCCCCTCCAAAAACTTGATGACGTCAGCTCAAAAGTTTGTGGAATAAATCATATCTAAAATGTACAAAATATGATGAGTCTGTACTTGTGATCTATCACTCCATTCATATTTTTTGGATTTGCATATACAGGGTGACTCAAAAAAATTAATGAATGCGTAAATTTATTTTACTGATTTACTCAGAAACTACAAAACCGAATGCTTTGAAATCTTGCAGATGTTTTAAGGTTATAAAGAGCATAATAAATGTTTAGTCAAAATATATTTGCTTATCCCCTCCAAAAAATTGATGACGTCAGCTCGAAAGTTTGCCGAATAAATCCTATCCAAACTGTAAAAATATGATGAGTCTGTACTTGTAATTTATCACTCCATTCATATTTTTTGGATTTGCATATACAGGGTGACTCAAAAAAATTAATGAATGCGTAAATATATTTTATTGATTTAATCAGGAACTACAAAACGGAATGCTCTGACATCTTGCAGATGTTTTAAGGTTATAAAGGGCATAATAAATGTTTAGTCAAAATATATTTGCTTATCCCCTCCAAAAACTTGATGACGTCAGCTCGAAAATTTGCCGAATAAATCATATCTAAAATGTACAAAATATGATCAGTCTGTACTTGTGATCTATCACTCCATTCATATTTTTTGGATTTGCATATACAGGGTGATTCAAGAAAATAAATGAAAGCGTAAATTTCTTTTACTGATTTACTCAGGAACTACAAAACCGAATGCTTCGAAATCTTGAAGACATTTTAAAATTATCATAAGCATGGTAAATTTTTGATCAAAACGTATTTGGTCGTCCCCCCTAAAAAATTTATGATGTCACCACAAAATTTTGCTGAAAAAATCCTATCTAAAATGTACAAAATACGGTGAGTCTCTTCTTGTGATTTATCATTCCATTCAAATTTTTTCGATTTGCATATACAGGGTGACTCAAAAAAATTAATGAATGCGTAAATTTATTTTATTGATTTAATCAGGAACTACAAAACCGAATGCTTTGAAATCTTGCAGATGTTTTAAGGTTATAAAGAGCATAATAAATTTTTAGTCAAAATATATTTGGTTATCTTCTACAAAAAACTGATGAGGTCAGCTCAAAAGTTTTCCGAATAAATCGTATCTACAATGTACAAAATATGATGAGTCTGTACTTGTGATTTATCATTCCATTCATATTTTTGGATTTGCATATGCAGGGTGACTCAAAAAAATTAATGAAGGCGTGAATTTATTTTATCGATTTAATCAGGAATTACAAAACCGAATGCTTTGAAATCTTGGGAATATTTTAAAGTTATTATAAGCATGGTAAACTTTTGTTCAAAATGTATTTGTTCATCCCTCCTAAAAAAATTGATGACGTCACCCTTAAATTTTGCTGAATAAATCCTATCTAAAATGCAAAAAATATGATGAGTTTGTACTTGTGATTTATCATTCCATTCATATTTTTTAGATTTTCTTAAGAGGTGGCTCAAAAAAATTAATGAAGTCGATTTATTTTATTGATTAAATTAAAGGCAACACTTATTATTAGTATTACACCCCAACAAACCCAATTTGGTAGACACAAAATTTGTTAAAGGAAAAACTCGGTTGAAACATAAGGGTAGCACGCTTATTTACATCGACTTTAACATTACAGACCTGCATTTGTTTTATGCGTTCACTTGATTCCGCGAATGTGAAATAGACATGTTTATAATCAACCAATTGTGAATTTCACCGTCAAGAATTAAAATAAAACCCAATGTTTTATATAATAAGCGGAAGTCGAAGCAATAAAACCGACGGTCGTTTTATTTACAGTTTCTCTGTTTGGCTCTCGCGTATGCTGTTACGCCTGTCATCTTAAATTAAGAATGTTTATACATACACGATTTTCAGTTGCCTCTGATACGTAGGTATACGTGAGTAAATTGTTTCGTTATTTTATTGATTATTACAAATCAATATTCAAACGACCCAATTCATTTTCCCGAAAATTTGAGAATATAATAATTTTATTCTTAGTATTACACTACATCTATCCCAACTGATATACGTGTCCTTGCAAAAATGTTGATGACGTCATCGCAATTTTTTTTTAAATTCCCACTACAAAAATGTAATGAGAAAAAAAACACAATAGGCATGCAGTCGTCAAGTTTCCGACAGCGAGGGAAGTACTGTCTAAACTCTTTAGACCAATTTTTTTTTTAATTTTTCAGTTTTCGGGTTTTTAATTTTACAGTTTTTCGATGTTTATTTTGACCTTTTTTGATTTTTCTATTTAAATTTTTTCTATTTTTCGAATTTTACAAATTGTCGGTTTTTCTCTTTCTAGAAAATTTTGTTTTCCGAATTTTTCTATTTCTGGATTTTTAATTAATCAGTTTTTCGATTTTACAGTTTCTTTTTTCAATTTTTCAAACTTTCAGTTGTTTTTGTAATTATCGAAGTTTTCATTTTCTCGAGTTTAAAGATTACAATTTTTAAAATTCTCGGTGTTTCAAGTTTCGTTTTTTCTATTTTTGATTTTTAATTTTTAAGGTTACAATTTTTACTTTTCCAATTGTTGACCTCTTAATTATTCGATTTTGAGTTTCTTTATTTTTTCAATTCTTCGATATCTCAATTTTTAAATTGTTGGGCTTTTCAGTGTTTCTTTCTCGATTTTTCAGTTTTTAATTTTTTGATTTTTCAATTTTTCAGTACTACAATTTTCCGATTTTTTGATTTTTTAAAATTCAGTTTTAATAAATTTGTCCTTTTGTTCAAAAGTTAAAAACGAAAAATTGAGAAAATGAAAAATTAAAAACAAGTAGGTAAATTATTTCGTTTCTTCGATTTTTTGATTTCTCAATTCGAAATTTTTATATTTTTCGTTTTGTTAATTGATAATTTTTGGATTTTTCAGTAAAATTTTTGTATTTTTTGATTTTTACTTCCCGAGCGTAAGCAAAGGAAGTATTGTAATCGAGTCCGTCGGCCGACACTCTGCTTTTACGTTTTCTCGATCTTTCATGACCCCTAGAAGACGAAGGAATAGGTCTCCCATTTCCGTCTGTCTGTCCGTCCGTCTGTCCGTCCGTCTGTCCGTCCGTCTGTCCGTCCGTCTGTCCGTCCGTCTGTCCGTCCGTCTGTCCGTCCGTCTGTCCGTCTGCCGTCCCGGATTTTTATTAGACAGATAATCTCCGAAAGTACTGGACCGATTGTTGTGAAATTTTGTACTTATATTAGGAATATCATGTAGATGGTAAAACGCTAACCAAAATTTGTCTAATCATCCCCACCACTAATGCGATGACGTCACTTCAAAATTGTACATAGTAAATAGGTCTTAAATTGTATAAAATAACATAGTCCTACACATGTAGTTTACGACTCCGAATTCAGTTTTTACCCGAAACGTCCAGATTTTTGGAAAAAAAATCAAAATTATAAAACAACATTTTGCAATTTAATTTTGAATCTGCTAACCCGAATGTTTTGAAATGTTGCAGATGTTTTAAGGCTCTAAAGAGCATCATAAATCTTTAGTCAAAATATATTTGGTTATCCCCTCCAAAAACTTGATGACGTCAGCTCAAAAGTTTGCCAAATAAATCCTATCTAAAATGTACAAAATATGATGCGTCTGTGCTTGTGATATATCACTCCATTCATATTTTTTGGATTTGCATATACAGGGTGACTCAAAAAAATTAATGAATGCGCAAAATTTATTTTACTGATTTACCCATTAACTACAAAACCGAATGCTTCGAAATCTTGAAGATGTTTTAAAGTTATCATAAGCATGGTAAATTTTTTATCAAAATGTATTTGGTCGTCCCTCCTAAAAA